TAAAGAAACTGTACTGACTGAAGGTTATTCACTTGAAACTAAAATTTGAAGGTAGAAAGTTATGCTATATTAGCTGAAGGATATTTACACATTAATTATTCTTCTACTAATTCAAATAGCAATACTGTAAGGGAAAACAAATATTTATTTCAGCATTTGCACAAATCATATTTATAAATAGATATGCGAGCAAACTATTTATGTAAACATTCCCTAAAGAATCCTGGGTATGACCAGCCTTGCAGCCAAGCAATACATAGAAGATTTTTGAGCAAATAATTACAACAGAGTTTACTCCTCAGTTTGTAGAAAGTAAGGAGTATTTTATATATTAAGACATTTAAATCCAAATACGTAAATGCTGCTAGAGAAAACTTACAGCTTTCTAAAAAAGAACTAAAATGCAAATATACTTAAATATTACATTAAGACTATAATGCTTTTCCTTCTTATGTAAAACATATCCTTTCTAAGCACGTAAAAGTTGCAGGCTGGATTTAAAAATACACATCCCCTCGCCCTTCCCTACATCTGCACCTTCATGATTGCAGATGAACACTGGATACAAAAATACTCACACTGAAGTTGCTGTGCAACTAACCATCTTATTCATGCTTTTGCCTAGCATTCAGTCCTACTATCCCAGATAGATCAGCTAGATCAGCAGGTGAAGAATGGGTCTGCTCAGGAACTTGGGATCTAAATGCAGATGTACAGCTACTGATCCAATATAACAGGCAAAGCAATTCTGCTCTGAGACCTTTTCCCAAAAATCCACCCTGAACTTAACTAGGAACACAAAATATCCCAAAACCCTCTGGTACTTTTACACAACTCTATTTTCTTTATTTGCATTTTGCTCTTTCAAGATTTCTGCTGGCACTTTCTGATTAACACCTTGTGAGATCACAGTACCATCACCAGGACTTTCATATTCTACTTCTTTTCATACTTAAAATAGAGATTAACATTAAGTGAATGCAACCCTTGATCATAAATTTCCCATTCTACTGACATGAAAAAGGTACCTTACTATTGCATAAGAAAACTACAGGAAGGAAAATGAACAGTTTGGAGACTCCACTTTAATGTGAGAACTTGTATCTTAATGGAGTACTTGCTGTGATAATCACTGCAGGCTTTGCTACAGGAGTCACAGAGATTCTATTCCTCAACATTTTTAAGATGCCCATTGCTTAATGGCAAAAATATTATCACTGCTCAATATTCTGCTACAAGGACAGCCCCCTTTTCTGTTTTGCTAAAGACACTGGCACAAGAATGTATTTGGCATTAAAATACAGGATGTAATACTGGAGAGAAGAACAACTATTCCAATTAATATGCCTGCACTGATGAAAAGGTTAAAATAGGGGAAGTTAAAATAACAAGTTGGATTTTTTGTTGTTTACTGAGTGAGCAAGAACACCAGGCAGCTAAATAAAAAAATCCAAAACTATTACTGCCTTACCCTCTCCAATTAACATTTACAAAAAGGAAAATCTGACAGTATTCAATAGCCAAATCTTAGCAATTATTAAAAAGCACAACTCAAGTAATCAAGCAATTCATATATTACTAAAGAAAGAACCAACAGTAGAAAATGCTAAATGCCCTGACAAGTTCTATACAAACAAGTATTGTAGAATGCCAGTAACAATGTATGGTAATGAGTTAGCTATAATTAGTACCACAAGCCTTAAAATAACTCCATACTCCCAAGTTTTCTGTATCCTGGATATGATTAAATCTTTTTCTTTTTTTTTTTTTTTCTCCAGCATAACTAAAATGGTAATTGAAAGCTGATTTAGGATCAAAGACAATCTCATGTTTATAAATAGTTGTAGTTGGCTGTGAAGTATTCTTGTCAAAATTTCCTGAAAGTGCTACAATGGTAGTACACTTGCAGGAACTAAACTGAAATTAGATATTTTCTGAAAGACTTATAGACAGAAAAAGAGCTCTGAGGAGGAAAAAACCTCACAAATGCTTTATAATAGAATCTACACCACTAAGATGGTGTACATATACTGTTAGATGAAGGTCATTATAAAACAGTCTATTTGAGGTACTGAAAAAAAAGCAAGAACACAAAACCAGACCCCACCACAAAACAAAAAAGCCAGCCCCAACACCTCTGTTGAGTAAATATCAATTACCATTGAGAAGGCAAATTTACTTCTGTAATTCTTTATTCTTTCCATCCACTGTTTCACAGGACACCAGCAATTACAGGAGCTTTGGTTTTTATTCATGATTGGCAAAATCCTAGTTTATAATCCCTCTAGGTACCAACCTCAATATTTGCAGTTGTATTTAAATTATTTTCTGCTATTTTACCATAGTTTCTGAAGCAATGTACTTTAAGTTCCTAAAGTAGTTCCACAAATATGCACTTTTAGAAGTGTTCTTTTTTGCATTATATGAAGCAGCAAAGCAAGACAGAAGCAGTGGAAACTTTTAGAGACAAAAGAAACTGGCTACCCAATATCCCTTCCTCAACTGACCTCCAAGGTTGTTTGTGGACATAAACAATCCAAATAATTTTGGGATTGAAAATAAAGTATCAGTTCCAAATGGAATTGCTCACATTTAATGATACTTAAGATGCAAAGAAAGAATTCCCAAAAGAAAAGTAATAAAAAGTAATAATTTTTCATAAACCATGAGCTCACCTATTAACTGAATCTCAACAAAAAACTCCCAAAGAATGTGGCTTTGAATTGCTGAAATTTATGCTAAATTTTCATTGAGTGTCATTACCATCTCATGACAAACTGGATTAATACACCCCATTGATACACAGTGTGTAAAAATATCCCCTGTGAATTGCTACTGTATACTCTAATCCAGTTGTTTGTAGTACATCTGGATTGCTTTCACTTCCTTTTAATACATTTATTATTAAAAAACTACTAGTAGAACTCTTGATTCCAAATTTTTGTCCTCTTGAACAATCTGACCAATTCATTTTAGGGATCTGAAGGAATAAATATAATTAATACAATTGAAGGGATGACCTCTGATACAAACATCAATTTCCCAAGTTGTTTTTCTCCCCTTATCAGTGCTGAATAATTAACACATGCACAAAACCTGAGTTCATAGCTGAAAAGTGCACTTGAATATTTGAGACCTGCTTAGAGGCTGATGACCTTTCAGGTAGGCAAGTGAGGGATCAGATCCAACAACTTGCTTACAGGCACAGGTACATTGGCATTACAGATGCCAGAGCCTTTGGGAGCAGAGGCTGGCAGTCATGGGGATAAGGCAACAGGACAATGCACAATGACCAGGTGAATCATGCCAAGTGAAAGGATTGGGAATTTCCATTGCCAATTGGGGTAACTTATATTTCTCTAAGTTGCTGACCATGTCTTCCCCCTGACAAGTAGGTCAATTTTCTCTAATTTCACTACTACTTTCCCAGAATAATCAGCCTAAATTTTTCAGTCTTCTTACACAACATTTTGCCTGGCTGTGCCATCTATGTGCTACAGATTTTTCATCTGGTAGTTCTGTGTAACCTGCATGTATGAGCAATGCTGTGATTATCTTTAACTATCCAGACAGTGAAATCATGGAAATAGCATCCTGGAGTGTTGATATGTTGACTCTCAAAATTCAGAAATAGGTCTTTCAGTATATCTCTGACTTGCAAGTGGCAAAGGGAAGCTGCAGACAGACACAACCCCTCATGTCACCAGTTTATATGTGCCATAATCTTCTGCTGACAAGATCTTTCTGCTGTGAGAAAGAGCCATATTGTAAAACAAGCCTCTACACACCCAGAGCAATAAGTAATTAAGAAGTGCTGGGGTAGGCACAGGAAGAGAGAAACCCCTCCTCAGCCATTCCTCACAAGGGCAGACTGCAAACCAGGGAGAGAGGGAGAGCAACTGAGCACCTTGCTGCACCCAGACTGAGCAAGGCAGCAACAGCAATCAATGCAAGCTCTCAAAAAAACTCCTGATTACAGCCTAGGGCTTGAATTTTCACCAGGGAGCCAAAGCACTGGGAATAACATATGCAATATTATTTTCATAAATAGGACTTCCTGCCAAAAAAGCCCAGGACAAGGCAAGCAGGGTGCTGCCAGTGTCAGTCGGAATCTCAAATCCCCACGACTGCAGCCTCTAATACAACGGATATTGTTCATTCTGCAGAGCACAAAACTATCACCACAGCTCAGGAAGCAGATCAATAGATTATAAGGAACCTTACAGTCATCACAAAGTCTTCTCAAAAGAGACCCTCACTCAGTGATATAGGCATATATATATATGGTCTGTTTTCACTGTAGCAGTGGGAGTTGCAAGTGTATATATTGAAGCATGGATACATACACATATATATTTTACATATACATACAGAAGTGGGTATTCAGATGCATTCACAAGTACGTACACAGACACAATCTTAAAGATTTGAACATATAAACCTTCTACTAAAGAATCCAAGAGGAACCATTACACTGGAAATCCTTTTGAAACCCACACAATGAGTTCATATAAAAATCACACTGGAACTAGATTGAGATCTACTTCAGAAATTAAAAGTGCACAACAATGAGCACCAAATGTACTTTTAAGAGAAAAATAGACTAAATGCTTAAGCAGATGTGGCAAAAATTAAGAGCAGTTAAAGGCAATAATCAAGTTGACTTCTCTGAGAGAAAAAAATCAAGCAGCATATAGAAATAAGGTGACTGGAAAAGATTAAAAAATAGCACAGAGATATGGAACTGAAAAATTTGCACAACAGCATGGAAATTGAAAATATGATTAAAAAATTAACCCAAAATAATCAGAACAAGGACAACTATGGATATTTAAGCAGCAAGACTGATGCTGACACTGAGAGGAATAACACAGACTACAGAATTCACAAGCTCTTTGGATGAGCAAGAAACATTTTTCAAAAATTTAGCTTACAATACTCCTGCTGTCATTCCCAAGCATTACCTTGAGGAGACTTTCAGCAGGGGATGAACTCTGAAAACACTTCACAGAGAGGTGTTTGGATTTCCACGTCGAGTCTGAAAAACAGAAAATCACTGGTTAAAGCCATCAGCTTATGACACAGAGGTAGTACTGGCAAAAGTGACAGAAAATATCCATATAAGAAATCTGCCCACTGAACAGAGAAAGTGTCAAGGAGAGAGGTGGATTAGTGGCTTTATCTCAGAAGTGACAGATTTCTGCATTTCAGAAGTGCCACGCTGGAGTGGGTGATGGAAGGACTTACATGATCAAGGAGAACCTGTGGTTCACCAATAGCTGAGAGTTTTGATTTTATATAAACTCTTTTGTAAAAATCCAAAGATTAACCCCCATACAGCCACTTTCCCCCTTTGAATTTCAGGGAGATGTATTTCAGGGAGATTGAACGCTGGAAACATATCCCAATAATATAACTTGTGAACAGGTTAGGAAAAAGTCTGGCTTCAACCTTCCTTCTACACCTCCCCACCTACCCAAGGAACAAAAAGCAACTTTGGGTGGCAATGAACTTTGTTGTATATGCAACTAGAAGGCAGCATATTCTTTTCATTTCTCATTTAAAGACAGATCATCAGGAAGTCATTACATTGGGAAGATTGGATCTCTGCACTGTTGTGGTGTAATTGAGCAGTGCTGTACACAAATATCATAGATAATAAAACATAAAAAGGTTTGCAGTGTTGGACTTGTTCTTTTTCCTAAGATATGGTATTAGGCTTAATCCGTCAGCAAAAATAAAGTTTTCTCTAACCTTAAACAGAATTTGGTGGATTGGAATATATTTTCTTAATTATTATAAACAGTTTAAAAATTAGATAACCTAACCTATGATTCTGGCTATTTTCTCTGAACTCTACCTCATACTGACACAGGGCTACAACCAGGACAGGGGACTACTACCAGTACATAAAGAAGCAGTAGGGAGGGAGGAAAAGCAGGCAGCCTATTTTAATGGGCATGTCTCAGGTCAGTAGTGCCTACGCTGCTTTTAAGTCAGCACCAATGCCCTGATGATATTTTTAAGCTGCTTCTTGCAACATCAGGATCACCATGGATGACAGACTTGCTGCAGGCTAAATTCAAGAATATGCAGAGATCCTGTAACAGTTACAGATACTTCAATATATCATGTCTGTTTTGGCAGGGGATAATATTAGTGCTATTGAGATAAGGGTGCAGTGGTGCTGTTTGAAATACCAGCATCCTGCCTGCTGGGCTGTGATAAACAGTCGGGTGTTTCACACACTGGGGGAAGCAGTGACAGCCCCGTGCAGGCACTCCAGAGCAGCAGGGAGACACAAACATCTTCATGGTGAGCCAGGAGTAGGACCAATTCTGCATAAGTGAACTTGCACTGCACAACTTCCACCTCACTTCAATCTTAGAAGCTCAACTCAGCTGTTACACGGTTCAGGTTCTGATCAGAAAATAGGAGAAAGGCTTGAAGAGAAGGGGCAGAGGGGAAAAATTCAAACAGAAGAATGGAGCCAAGTGAAGACCACACAGCTACATTTACTATGTGACAGAGGAGGGCCAGACAGAATTGCTCCATAAAGGTGTGAATACCACATTTTCATTCTACCTAAAGCAGCAAAATGACACACCATCACTTTGAAGTGTGTTGGTTTCTAATACATAGCAATGAAATTATTTTCTCCCACAAAAGGCACCATTGTTTCAGAGACTTTTTGAAGAAAGGAGAATACTTAGCAATTGCTTAAGATTAAAAAATAAACTGACGGAAAACAAACTACATTCAGAGAATTTTTGAAATGCACACAACTAAACAGCTTTATAAAATTTCACTCATCTCTTTTTTAAGCCCCCTTCTCCTTACCACCTTTGTTCGACCTAGCCTTATAGATTAAATACTGCCTCCAAAATTTCCAAGCTACCTTTTGAAAGGATAGCTGCTTATCCATAAGTGGCTTTGTTAATCTGAGTTCATGGGCCAAATGCCAATGCACGGGTAAGATCATAACAGAGTTCTGAGCCATTAGGATTTGTTTCAAACATAGAAGGAAAAACCTGTGAAATTTCCAAAAACTAATTGAAGATCTGAAAATCTTACTCCCTGGTAATTTGGGGGTAAAGAGTTTCAGCTCTGGCAACTTTAGAATTATTTTTTAGGAAAGTAAAGTTATAAGAGGTTCTCATAGATCTGTAATAAGAGAGTTGCTCCTGTAACTTCAGTTCAGCAGAACTGCTTAAGAATTATGGGAAGAAGATAGAAAGAACATTTCCTTCACAATACCCTCTCTCCAAATAATAGAAGTAACTACCTGAAAGCAATTTCCCCTCCTACATTATGTCTTAACATTAACATAATCATAAACACTTAAGACAGCATTCCCCTCACATCTCCATTATTAATCTCTTAAAGCTGAGTTATGAACAACATAAAACATTAATGCATCATGCCCCAATAACTGTAGTCTTATTAGAACATTTGCCCCATATGGCTTGTTAGATGGTTTGTGTTCAGAAGGAAGATAAGTTCCCATTTACCAGAAGATATTAAAAAAACACAGCATCCAAAACAAAAAACACACCCTGTCAATATTACTTCCATCAACAGCATTTTCATAAATTAATAAAAAATTAATGAAGCAGACAAAATGTAGTGCTCTGGTTAAATATTAATTTAAGAGCACGTCTGCTGAACTTTGAGCAGTATTTACTGACAGCACCTGGGCCCCCTCCCTGGGCTGCTGACAGCAGCTCTGTGCTCCCACAGGAGCAGAGGGATCCCCTCACCCTGCTGGGCAGCAGCTACAGCCCAGCAGTGATGCCCAGAGAGAGCTGAAGCCTGGCACCACAATCCCAATTTCTGCTCACCAACCCTGGGCTTGCTCTTCACCTGAGGAGCTGCCCTGGCAAAGAGTCCCTCGAATGGCAAAGGATGCCACAGACATCAGAGAAATGCAGCCAGGTGCTCATCAGCCTCTGAGATGGTTAAAAACACACCCCTAAAGGAGATGGGAGAGTTCTCAACCACAACTAAAACTTCTGTCTGTCCTCTGCACTTTTAAAATTTAACCCTTCTATCACGTAGATTATTTCATTAAGGCAGCAGTGTAAATTTGCATGTTTTTAATTTCAATTGTATGATACTAAGTACTTTGATAAACAAGCCACTAAATTAAGACTAGAGGAATGAGGCTTGTTTTCTATTTTCTGCTTCCTGCCTTAACACCACGATTGTTTGCTTTTTAATTTTGAAGTTCGCAGTCAGCACACAGTGATCCTACAGGAGAGATTTATCTTTCAAAAATCTTTCAGAAAACATTGCAGATGAGAGATTTAAAAAGATAATAGTCTGTCTGACTATACATAAACTTCCCATCAAAGCCATTCCTGACAAGGTTTCATTAACAGAAACTGTATAACCAATACCTATAGTCACATTTCTCAGGAGAGGAATGATGGGGCAGCTCAGAGAACCTGGACACACAGGTCTGTGCATTCCAATTCCATCTCTGTCACCAAATCTCTTGGAGCTCAGGAGCCACTCACAAAGTGTTTGCTTCAATTCCTCCATCTGTATAATGGCAATGATATCTAATTCAGAGGGATGCTGTGAGGATTAATTAGTTAATGTTGGTAAGTGCTTTGAAGATGAAAAGAGCTACAGAAGAGATAATCAGTTTTACAGTCTCTAAAAGCTTTTACCATGTCTGCAGAATTATTTTGGAGTACCACAGGAATATCATCGAGGAGAATCTGTCATTTATCACGTACATCCAGAAAAGGGGAGGGGGTGGGGGTTGGAGGGTTGGAAGGAGCAGGTATGAAAATATTTCAGTGTAAAATCACCTATGCTCTTCTGAAATCTGCAGACAAACAGCACAAAGCTCAGACTTCCTTTGTACAATCTACCTGTACATTGCTACCATTTTCTTAAGAAAACAAACACCAAATGGCTTTGTTGACTTACCTCTTCCCTTCTTCCTAATTTGAAATTCGGAAACTACAGTGACTTTTAGTGTTCTTTTCTGTGTATTTGAATATCCTGGCTTTTTGTCAGTAAGTATACTATAAAGGACTGCAAGATGACATCCCTTTCTCTGAAAAAAATGTCTTTAAGGTAAACTATATGTATTTAGTTTTGGAAGATTTACTTTTGGTTGCCTAGAAAGTCTTCAATGTCTACAGCTCAGCTCCATTTCCTGCTTTAATTGATTTTCATTCCCAGTAATCAAAATCGAAGTTTGGAATGAAATAGAGCCCTCAAACTTAGCAAAGTCAGACAGAATACAAAAGCATACATGGTTGAAAATGTCAGATTTTTTTTAATCAGTAATAACTCAATGTTATTCAGATAGTTTAATATCCCACATAAGAATAACCATATCTTCTCTTTGATTTTTAAGTAGAGCATTTTTCATGGATGACTTGAAGCACATTAAAATAACGTCAACTGCTGATGGAACTGCTTCACAGCTTGTGAGTCTTCCTGGACAAATTGCTTCCAAGTGAAATTATTTTGTGATCAGAAATGTGTTCTTGAATACACATTTTTCAAATGACCATCAGAAAAAAGAAATAATTTAATTTGATCTGATAGATGTTGTCTACATAGAGCACAGCCAGATGAGTACAGATAAGTGATGTTAGTGTGCAAAGGGGACAAGGTGAAAAACTGGGTTTATTACAAGCTAAATGCAATGCTGACTGGTATTGGCTTCAGATAAAATTTCTACAATGATCAAATATAAAACTTCATTAAGCTGTGCTTTCCTCTTTAAAAAACAGTGTTTAGTGGCTATCCTACTTATTCTCAGTAGTTAGGGTACCATTAACACACGATGAAATAATCCACATTTGCACTGTTATGCAATGAAATATATTTTGTTGCTGGTTATAATCATTATGTTTTGCTCACAGCCCTTCCCCTACCTTATAGCAAATGTCAACTTTGACAGGGCTGAAGGAAAAAAAAGTAATATTTCATCTCAGTCTTCTTTCTCAAGCCCTTTGAGCTTCACAAAGCAGTAATGATTATTTATAGCCCCTCTCTGCTCCCAAAAATGCC